ATAGGATAGTTACATAATTTATGGTAAAAAAAAATAAGAAAAAAACATTTAGTTCATTAGAAACTTCTATCACAAAACTGAAGATACCAAAAGAAATCATTTTTTTCCAGGACAGAATTACATCTTAATTACATCTTATCTATTTATGCTTCTTAGAAAAAAATAACAGCAAGTAGGAAAGTAATAATTTTACATAGAACCTATGATAATTCCATAGCACAATAAGCTTTTACAGTAGAAAGCTATCACATAAGTCCAAAGAAATAAGAGTAATAATGTCCATGTGTATATGGTAAAATGAATACATTTACTAAACTATTCTAACAGCAAAGTGCTATATCTTCAGTGTTCAATCAAAAGAATGGGCAGCTACTGAAACAGAAATAAGCTCTATACTGAGAAAGAGGAAAACATGAAAATACATTCACAGAAAATGAGGCAAAAAGCCCCATTACTTTCTACTAAATTTCATACTTTATAATGGCTTCAGTAGAATTTAACTAATGGGTCAACATTTGGGCACCATATCTAGAATGTTTCAATTAAAACATTTAAAAATAATACTCAGAAGTTTTGAAAATATGGATGAGTTTACTAGGTAGTTGATACTTCAAAGGATATAAAATATTGAGCAGATAAAAGTGGAAAACTTTTAAAAGTGGAAATTTGAAAAAGTGGAAAAAAAGTGGAAAACTTTCAAAAGTGGAAATTTGATACATAAAATCTGTATTACATAGAAAAATAGGGGAGAAGGAAAGATGAAAGAGTAGCAATGAATGGCAAGAAATGGGATAAAATCCTTCAGGAAGCTTCACTGGCATTTAAGTTTTCTCACCTTTGATCAATACTTTGGAATAACTTTATCTCTGACATGACTTCCACCCAAGCCCACACTGCCACCTGTGTGGGGATCTATGCTTGCTAAAGGCTTATCTTTTTGACTCAAGCAACCCTCCCACCTCAGCCTCCCAAATAGGTGGAAATACAGCTGTGTGGAACCACACTTAGCTAGGATTCATCCTTTAAGAATAATTGTTTCAAAATGTTTTTTTATTGGATGCTTTCTCCAGCAAAGACATTTTTGTCTTTCTTTATTTTACTTTTCTATTTTTGTCCTTGGACATCAAGGGTCTTTAGATCTGGTAGCAGCCAGTCTTTATCTCCACTCACCACAAAAAGCAAACAAAATGCCCACTCTGTGGACAGGTAATTTGACATCACTTACTGTCTAATCAATCTGAAAGCAAGAATAGACCCGAGCTTGATTTTATCAATGATGAAATAACAGTAAGAACAATAGATAACATTTATTGAGCATCTACTATGTGCCATGTCCTCCAAGTCTTCAATGTGTGTATCACAAGGAAATTCACAATCACCTTGGAACTGATGTTTTCCTTGCTTCTTCTCTAAACTGCAGTGCTGCCTGTGAATGCCTATTGAAGAATCTCTTGTTCTTAGTAACCTTTTGCTCAATTACCATTTTTCTAATTTTGTTTAAGGCCCTTAATTCAACTGAGGTCATCGAAGTTTTTACAAGGACTTTCAGAGAAGCTCATCTCATTTACTAAATATTTTCTAATTTGAACAGACAGTATTGTCCTATTCCAACTAATGATAAAATGCGGGGTTTTTTCCCCACTGCTTATGTGTTAATACTGACAAACACACTCATCTAAGCACGTACTATGTGCCAGACATTGTTTTGGGTATTTTCAATATATTAACTAATCTTCACAGCAATCCTGAGGTAGGTACTATTATTATCTGTATTTTATCCATAAGAACTTCGTAACTCACCCAAGTTCACACTAAATTGTAGTGGAAGTGGAATTTTCAAGGACTATTTTGACTTTTAGTCTTATACACAATCACAAGTTTCTAAGGTTCCAATCTTTAGTACAATGTCTTCAGCTTTTGCTATTCCTGACCTATCTCCCTTATTCAGCTTTAAGATTAGAGGGTTGGTCTTTAACATTCACCTATTATCAACACACATCAATGTCAAAAAGGAGTAGGCCCTCCCTCTCCTCTTCTCTGAATGCCTGGCTAATATAGGAAAGTAATTTCTAGAATTAATACCTTTCAAATTAAACGAAGCAGTTAAATTTATCTATGGACATACCATGCCAGATACTGTATCAATGGTACAGTTATCTGAAGTGAAATGTGGACGATCTTTTATGGTAAAAAGATTATGTTTAGGTTGTCAAGGAACAAAAGGCAAGGAGGTTAGCTAAGTACTTGATTTTTAAAGTATTTTTTAAGCTTTACATAAGAACTTATTACTATGTATATACTGACAAAAGACATAACTGCCAGTATCTCAGATCCATGGCTCAGAGAAGAATTCAGCATAAATGAGGCCAACCCACCCACCCAACCTCACCTGAAGGCTGCCTGAGCAAAGTAGTTGACCTTCAAGGGTGGCACCATACCAAAGTGCCAGAGTCCTCAGTGCAGGGCTTTTCAAACTGCAGGTTGCAAACTAAATTGTGAAATCAGTTTAGTAGGTCACAATCTGCATTTGGAAAATTAAAACTCAGCATAGAAAATGGGTAAGAGTGTTTTATGATGCTATGTATGTATGCGTTTACTAGGTCATGATACTGTAAAATGTATTTCTAGTTATGGAACTTGGGCCAAATGTTTGAAAGCTGAAGATCTAATGAATACTAAGTGTGTGCAATTTTCTAGTACTAAGCACTGTGTTTAATAAACCAGACAGCTAGGTTCTTCATAGCCAGCAAGTTGAGCTAGTTCTAATAAATGGCTCAGAGATCATAAAAGGAAATTTAAATATCATCCAGTCCAATAAATCACCCAGCATATGGAGACTTTTTTAAGATTTCTGGAATAGAGTATCTAACTTCTGGAGGAAGCCTGTTTGTTTTTCTACAAATCACCTCTGACTCTTAGAAAGTTCTTCATTATGCCAAATCGAAATGGACCATAAGGCTGCTGCTTTCACATGACAGCTCTTCAAAGCGTGTGTCAGTTTAATTCTATTTACTTTTTCTGAATAAACAGATTAATTGTAGAAAATACCACAAAGCATAATGAGAAAATAAAAATCATCCATAATGTAACAACCCAGAGGTAACAATTGGAGCCATGCTGGCTATACCTCCTTAACCTGCTTGCTCTATACTATATCATGAATATTTTCCTTTAAGAAAATAGTCTAAACATAATTATAATGACAACACAGCACTCTAGCTTATGGCTGTACCACAGCTTTTTTTAAAAATCCCATTAGATGAGTAGATTATTTTGAGATTTTATATAAAAAATTGGTATGTACATCCTTGCACATAATGATTTCCTCATGATAATTGCTGGTTTTAAACCACTAGATTAAAAATACACCGTTTTGTCTTTGACAGATACTGGAAAACTGTCCAAAAGTGTTCCAATTACTTTCTCACTGATGACACAGAAACCTCACTACCGTAGACATTAACCTGTTTTCATCTTTGACAACTTGGTTTCCAAAAAAAGTCTACTCTGTTCTCACGTAATGAGGTTAAATATTTTTTGACATATTTACTGGACATTTTCACTTCCTCTTTTGTGAATTGCTCGATCATACCTTTCTCCAATTATCCTTTAAGGTTTTGAAAATAACTGATTTAGGTCATTAAATATTTGAAGAAGGCTGTGATATCTGGTGGAACTGCTATCTCCATTGACTTGAATACTAGCTGCCAGACTTCTCTCTGAAGCTGAAGACAATATTGTTAATATTGTGACTTTTAAGTCCACTATGTTTTTTTCCCCTCTAAAGATCACTTTGTTGAGAAAAATATCAAGAGGAACTGATATGAACTTTGCTTGTTAATGTAAATGGGAAATGATAATTTTTAAATATTTAAGATTAGAAATTTCCCTTACATCAATCAATAACATCAGTAAAATCCTCTCATCAGAGGCAAGTTAACAGTCTTTTCGACTCCCTTCCTTGGACCACAAACAAAATGTTGTCTAGCTGCACGGAATTTAGCAACAATTTATACTATCAAAACAGAGACACAAACAAAAAACTATTAGCCTTATGAATCCCAGAGAAAGGAGGGGTGTGTGAGTTTCCACTGAGTAAGATGAAAAATCTGCTTAGTACTTCCCACTTGAACACTAACGAAAATGTAAACAGATGCCAAAGAGGACAAATTTCTGAAGTTTGTCTAAGTGAGGCGTGGGCACCTCTAATGTGTCCCCATACAGCTCATATTCTACTCTCTCCCACATCCAAGGTAGACACATCCAATCTTCCTGCAGCCACTGCCTTACTTCAGGACCTTACCAACTACCACCATAGCATGCCAGCCATTCTTCTTGCCTCCAGTTGCCCTCCTTAACTTTGTTCCTTACATCACCTCCAGAAAGATGCCTCTAAGATACAAATTTAACCATTCAGGGATCCCCTGTTGTTACAAGATGACGTTTCCAACCTCATTAGCGTGGCACAAAAGGCCTTTGGATCTACACAGACCTACAACTCTACTGGCATTTGGAGGCTCAGAACATGACAGCTGCTTATACCTCTGTGCTTACTTAGGCATATGCTGTTCCCTCTTCTAAGAGAATGTTATCTCCCCATCAGTCTGCCAGTTCTGCAACCTGAAGACTCAGCTGAACGGAGATGACCTGTTGGAAGTGTTTCCTAAGATAATTCTCCTACAGCAGGCTGGATTCTGTGTCCTTCCTGGGTATCCTTAAGACAGTTTAGAAAAGTAAATAAATGAGTTTTATTGTCCGTGAGATGCCAAATATTAGCTTAGCATGTTGCGGGGCCTCCAGGTGCCCTAATTACACGGCAGTATCATGAACCTCTTTGTCTCCCTTGAAGGGTCTCAATCATTTCACTATATCTAGAAACTATCATTGAATGGTACACAGGAAATGCTCAGGAAATGCTTATTGTATTAATGACCTAATAAACATGATTGTGATATGCTTTTAAAAATCACCCTACAACTTTTATTTTGGATAAAACAAATCAGAAAACAATTGCCAACAATACATAGTTGAAAGAAATTCTTATTTTATAAGATAATTCCTATGTCCTAGATATTTTTAACTATCAATTTCCTCTACTGAACTTGAAATAACATTTGATATTCATATAGTTTTTTGTGGACACACATCCTTTATGTTAAGACAAGATGCATCCATACAGTCATTTAGTCATTAGTTAGTTTTAAAATACAGAATGCCAAACGCAGATCAGCATGTTGCCTATGTACATAGCAAATGCTCAACAGACATAAGTACTTATGAGCAGAATTGTGGGTTGGCTGCTTAGTTCACAATTATTCTCTTTTCTGGCATGTAGTCTCCATTCACAGGAGTAGACCCAACGGATTATATCAAAGGTAACCTTGACCTGACCATAGTACATTGATTTACAAATGAAGACCTGATCCAAGCTAGGCCAATCAGTTTTTCCTCATTTTTTGTTTTTGTTTGTGTTTTTTAATCTTAGGACCAAGGAACATTCCAACTAGACCGTTTATAGTAGTGAGAATTGCCAGAAGTAAATCCATTCATAGAACTTGAAACCTGTTGGTGGCCATGTTCCCTGCCACGTATAGAAACAGATACATGGTCATTTGTAGTTCAAAGAATGAAGTCAATGTAGTGGGAAGAAACAGATGAGAAATGATGCGAGCCCTAGACAAGAGCCTGGAAGATGACAAGAGTCCTTATAGGAATCCTGGTGATGTTCAGTATTTGGTTCTCCATCTCCCTGAGAATCTGCTGCATCCCTGCCCTCCCCAAAGTTTGGTTACGCGAGATACTCCAGCCCTTCTAATAGATTGACATGCACTGGCCCCAGTTGGTCTTCTGTCATTTGCCAGCAACAGAACAGAATAGACATGAATAGATAAATGAAAACCCTGAATTTTCCCCCATTCATTTTTCCAACTCATTCAACCAGATGGTTTGGCATAATGGAGGTACAGGCTAATTTATATGAGGCTCCTGTTTGAAGAGGGAAGGAAGGTATTCATTCTGAAATACATTTGAAACAAAAGTAAGTTCCAGACAACATATGCCAATGCAGATCTGAAGCACTTGATCAGGGTGATCCATGCAAAGATGTAATCTCCTTCCTGCGGAAAGCAAATTAACCATAGGTTGGGAATCTCCAGAAACAGAACTTTTTCAGAGTTCTTTTTGTTCAGGACCCTTCAATAATGGGAGAGGCATGAGAACATTTTCTAATCAAGAAGTGAATGTTCCTAATGCAAAATATAATGGCAATTTGGCTCTGCTTCAGCCAGAGTTGGAGCTGCTGTTGGAATTTATTTATGTCTGGACATAAAGGCTCCTTGTTGGTATTAGCCTTCAGGACCGGCCTGTTGGTTGGCAGCAATTGACCTCACTGTCCCCGCTGCTGCTGCCTCTCTCTACAAGGACTACTTTCCCACTGCAATGGTGAGCAGTACAACAGAAAGAAGGACAAAGACTGGCTCCGGCTGGCTGGCCATCATGGACTGGCCCCTCTCACTGAGGTGACCTGTGGTTGCAGAAGGAAGCCAATGTGTAACTCAGAGCACCCTCACCATAGTTTTTCATCTGTGGGGTAACAGCCTTTAACAACCTGGTGGCTCCATGGTGGGGGTCACACTTTGGTGCTCTGACTGCCCCTGGCTCGAAGTCGTCCGGTCCAGCTGCCCTGCTCCTCGGCAGACATCTGACCCTGGGAAACAGCAATGCTTTTGTCTTGTCCTATGCCCCCATTTTTGCGGGTTTGTTTGTCTTTGGTTTGCAGCTTGGGAGCAGGTACCCTATCCCTTTGGACAGAGCTCTCTCTGATCTGACTAGTGCCTTTATGGGACACACTGTTTTCCCCTGAGGGTTCCAACACAGTTTCTCTCTTCCAAGACTTTTCCCTGTTGTAGACCTGGTCCCCCTTCCTTGGATGTTCCACAGGAGCAGGGTGGCCCTGTATTGACTCTGTGGGGTCCTTTTCACTCTGTATGGGTCTTTTCTGTGCAGGCAGACCCTCTTGAATTGGCTGATCACCACTGAGGGCAGCTTTGTTTTCTTTAGATAATCCTTGAGTATTCTCTCTTTTCAAAGATGGTCCTTTTCTGGATTCACTTGGTGGCAGGTTAGTCTGGGCCTTTTTCCTGGAATGATGTGTTTTTTCCCTTTTCTCTTCCTGTGATTGGGGGTCTTTGGGTTGTGGTTCAGTGTGGGGTAGCTCAGAAATTCCTGGCATGTGGACTTGTTGTCTCTGGTTCCCCTGAGAGCTTAGAGAAGGGCTGGGACTGGGATGGTCAGGTACCTTTGTGGGAGCTGGCTTGCTAGGGGACTCCAGCTGCAAGGGCATCTGTGGGCCTCTGGGCGGTGCCTTTCTCAGATGTGCTGGTCCTCTAGCTATATCTCTTTGGAGAGGGAGGGTTTTTTTCCTAGTTCCTTTCTGCTGCATGGGCTTTTTGCTTTGGGGTGAGGCCTGCATATCTGGGATCTTCTTACTGGAGGGATGGCCTGCTTTGGGAGCTTTCTTTTCCTTTGCAGGCTTTGGATCAGGTTGAACCCCCACGGTCGCAGGTAGTTGTAGTTGGATGAAGGGAGTAGGAATCTGAGGGAGCCTGATAGTGGGAGCGTCCTCCTGGGATATGTTGGGGATGTGCTGAGGCACTTGGTCCTGGACAGAGGGACTGATAAGAGGGAGTCTCACCTCACCAACTTTCTCTTCCTGGTCTTGTTGAGGAGTATGGGTGGCATGGGCACCCAGATTTGGGGGCAGTGTGGAATGGGGAGGACTGATGGCAGGAAGCTTACTGGGGTCTGCTTCCTGAGTGGGGAGAGGCCTGGGAGAAGGAATCATGGTTTGATCTGAGTTTGTTCCAGCAGCCTCTTCCCTGCTGGGTGAGAGCAGCTTGGGGGTGGGCCTCCTGCTCTGGAGGGGTGCAAGGGTCCGAGGCTGGGGCAGCCTGGTAGGAGCGAGCCGGCCTCTGGAGAGCAAAACCACTGGGTGTTCCCTATCCTGGGTCTCTTTTGTGGTAGTGGATGAGTCTTGGGGAGGCACCAGTTCAGGGTAAGGAGTACTGGCTCGGGCTGCTCCTGACTTGTGGGTTTCCTCCTTCAGAGGTGGTTGAGAGCCTCCACCGAGCTTCTTCATCGAGTCAGGGTGGGAAGGATCTTCTGGAGGAACCTGGTGGGAACTGCAAGGTGTGGGTTTGGAGGGCTCAGTTTCCACATCCTGGACTTTCTGAGGGCTGAGAGAAGCTGGACCTTGTGAAGGTTCAGATGGGGGAGGACTGCTGGGAGCCACCTTGGCCTCCCCTGATTCCTCATCCTGGTCTGAATGAGGCCCGTAGGATGGAGGAGGGTCAGGGTGTTGAAGAGGCATGTGGGAAGTGGTAATGGAAGACTGCTCTCCTCCATCTGCTTCCACCTCTGAGGGCTGGGTCTTGCTTTCAGAGACATCTGTCTCCGTGGTGGTTGTTATTTTTGGAGAAAGATCTGACTGTTGCGCACCTTCTTCCATCGGGTGTGGAGATATGTCCTGGGTCTGCTGAGGAATACCAACTGCTGGTGAGCTGGGCTGCTGGGTAGGCTCTGAAGAGATGAGTCTATTGGGAGACAGCTCTTTCTTCTGGGTTTCTCCCTCCTGGGCCAGCTCTTGGTTCTGGGAGGGAGCTGGGTTCTGATTTTCCGAGACCTTTATATGAACCTGCCCGGAGAGATGCTCTGTTATCTGGCCATCTGCTTGCAGTTTCGTCAGGCGCCTAGGGGAGGGAACCAGGTGTGCAGGTACCCCAGAGACAGTCTTCTTGCTAGAGGGGGCTCCTGCTTTAATATAAAAACAAGTTAGCTAAATGCAGTCTTAACTGTCTAGAAATTAATTACCAAAAACTTCTTTCCCTTTTGTGATGCATGTAGATCCTTAAATTAAAAGGAATAAAATCACATATAGGAGAACATAACCTTCCCTTCTCCCTGGGATAATAATTATCTACAATACTTACACTTAATAAACCTTAGAACAATTTTGGTCAACTTAAAACATGTGTAGAACCAAGTTTGGGACTGTCTGTGGGTACTGAGGAAATTTTTCACATGAATGTGATTTTAAATTTTCACCATTTTACAGATCAATGCTGCTTTTGACTGTAAAAACTAGACGGTGGGCATCTAAGCCAGACAAGTTCCCTTGTTTCCTTGGTAAATAGTGGTCCTCTTAAATAATCTGTGAATTCTATGATGGGTCATGTCTGATTACCAGTGCTTAGCAAGGGGTATGGAGCTCAGCAGGAATTCAATAAGTGATGAATGAAGAAGGGAGGAAAGAATGGGTCCAGTGAAATCACAAGGCAGCATGGCTCAGAGAAGCTGCTCCTGAGAACCTACAGTTTGTGCAGCTACCACCCACCCCGACTCTGATCCCCAGATCTCCCCTTTTCCCATTGTCTACTCTGGCTTCAAAGATGGTTCTCTGAGGCCACTGGTGATATTGATGCTGCAGAAAAGCACTACTTCCTCCTGTCACCATGAGAACAAGTTCTCAGAGTGACTGATTTCATGGATGCAATTTGCTTATGATAGAAGCCCTGATATAGGTTGGTGAGCTAATTATCATCTTAACCCAGCCCCCAAAACACAGCTAAATGTCAAGTTATCAGAGGTGGCATGCCAGTCTAGAATAGCCTCAAAGAAATGAATCTTGTCTTACTTTGGAGGAGACCTGATGCTCAGAGATTCCAAACCAAAGCAGACCTTTGAGGATATCCCAGAGTGGTCCATCTCCAGCAGCAAACTACACTCCTAGCAACCATTCCCCCTTCCCTGAAACAAGATAGGCTTGCACTACTCTGAGATCACCCTGACCCTCCTAGTCTGGACCCTCCCTCTCTGCATCCAGTCAAACCATATGTTCTTTCGGAGGGAGAGGGGAGTGGGAACAAGGAAAAGCAGCTTTCTTGGTAGGGTTCCTGGGCATATGCCCTGCTCATCATTCTTATCTCCCTAGTTTGTAAAACAAGTATAAACTAAAATACTACTTTAGATAAGAGTCAAGGTTAAATTAAAACATAAAACAGTGAAAACATCTCAAATAGGCAAATTCACAGAGAACAAAAAGTAAATTAGAGGTTATCAGGCATTAGGGGGATTTATTATTTAATGGGCACACAGTTTCTGTTTTGGATAATGAAAGATTTTGCAAATACCTAGTGGTGATGATTATAAAATATTGAGAATATACCTGATGCCACTGAATTATACATTTAGTATAGCTGAAATAGCAAATAGTACATAATAGGGACAGACATGCATACACATAATACATACATATATATATGTTTCTGCATATGTATACATTTATATATATTTTTTATGTGTATATGTACTTTTTTTTCCAATTTAAAGACAGAAAAATAAAGAAGAGTGAAACCCAGTGATGAAGGTTTTTCCCCTTAATCCCTCTAATTTCCTACAGACACAGCGATTTTCCTACTTTCACTATTTATCAACACATATAATTTGCCAAATGATATTGTGCCTTTTATTAAAATAAGAGGACCACTTATGGGCTAGTAAAATGTTCAGTTTTCCTGATCACTAATACCATTTTTTCTACCATTAGTCAGAATTCTGAACAATGATTTGCAAATATAATTTCATTTCATGATCTTTACAGCAAGAACTTGGGATGATAGCTTTCTAAAATCTTATCGGAAGCACAGACTGTCCCAGAAATAGGTTGTCTAGAGACAAAGGGAGAGAAAGACATCTCTTACACTGACTTGTGAAAACAGTGAGGTTTCTCTTTATGTTATATTGTTTAGTTGGGATTTTTTTAGATCTTCATGCTTTAAAAACAAATACTGCTTGTATTACTATAAGAGAAAAAAATGAGACAATCCCATACCTAAATTGGTATATACTTTAATAGTACATCTAAAGATCTCATTAGTTTACCATTACTCTGTGCCTAAAGCTACTATTTTATAGGTTCATTAAATGAAAATTTAATTAATGTGTCCACTGGTTCACATTTCTGGATTTAGGTTGACAGATGCTTGTACACTGAAGTGATAGGCCTTGGGGCTTAGTTTCAGCCCTTTTTCTACTCTCACTGTTAATAGTAGAAATTACACTTGCATTCTCAGTTATAAACTAGCAACATATAATTACTAAGGATAAAGCTATGTATCTTTATTTCAAATATCTGGGAATTATCTTTAGTTTGGTATGACATAAGATTACCTCTTTCAGAAAGCTGATGATGCTGGCCATTAAAAGTGTTTGTATCAAAGCCTAAACACACAAATGGTTTAATCCAACTGGGGAAAACCTCAACTCTGGAAAGCTAATGATGTCCTGTAATACTCAGTTTTCTTTTTTTAAGAAAAAGATGATTTTCAAAATCATTTCTTGAATCAAATTAGTGGCTATAGGTTAGATTTAGAGTAAAAAAGTAAGGTTTCACATTTCCCATTTAGTTTTCTCATTGCTCAGGCTAAATGGTTTTTCATAGAATTATAAATATTTTTTATTTCAATTTCTTCTCTTGGAGAGCTGAATTAGATAAAACAATTCCACTATATTAAAATTGTTGTTTTTTATTTTGAGGGGACTCATTTATATAAGTACTGTAAGTATTTGTGTAAATATACCTAAACCATAGAACTTAATATCTGAGTGACCCAGCTCAGAGTAGAGGCAAAGGCGAGACACCAGCTAGACCCAGAATAGCAGCTGTGTAGGTCCTGAGCCCTTTCTCAGGGAGTCTTGACTTTTTTTAAAAGGTAATTATGGTTGGGCCCCATTCTCTTGCACTGAACCTATAAACATCTGGCACACACACCTTGGCAGATTTTCACCCTGAAACTCAGAGAAGCCATTGATTCTAATTCTTGGGTCATTAGAGACACCATAAAAACGTAATACTAAGGACTATGTTTCTTTGGGATATTTTAAATACTCACTTAACTAATGTCTGGCCTCCACAATGTCACTGTATGTAGAAGCTGATTCTTAAACTGTCAACTACAAAACATAATTACCTCTGCAAATTAACTGTAAAAACAAGATAAAGTGTTTGGCTTAAGAAAACATGTTATTTTCTAAAATATTAAGCCTGCCAAGAAAGTAAAAGTCTGTTGAAGTTAGTATTTGATATATTAACTGCAACTCTTCCCATCTACTTTTCAAGCTGGAATTCTATTAGTCTATAACTAGATGGCTCAGGTTCAGTTAGTAAATGTATCTGAGAGTTATAAATTTTATAAATTCTATAATTCATATCTTTCATTAAATCAGTCAGCTCTAACCTAATTAGTCCATATAGATAAAGTTTTATTATACTCTTAAAATGGGAGTCCATTTTTCTATGCACACATTATCTGGCCTATTAATTTGCCAAATAGCAACTGCATCCAATAGTCAATGCTCCTGATTGTTGTAGAATAAAGAAAGATACAAAATACAGAAACGGAGCTTCTTCTAGCTGTTAAAGCTAAGTCTTGCTCATGCACCTCTGTTCAGAGGAACTGATTTAGAAATCCATATTCTCAGCTACTCAAACTAGGTGAGCTCTGGGGACTGACTCATGTTTATTCAAAACCACAGGAGGTTGACATAAAAGCCAGCACACCAACCTACTGATTTACAATGGGAGGTGGGTTAGGCTCAGGGGACAGGGCAGGGTGTTCTAACGTAAGTTACAATTCCCACAAGGGCAGATCCACCCAGAGGACCAAATTAAAGATCAGAACGTTGCTTGGATAGCAAAGAATTAAAGTATAGGGAGCCAAATTTCCTCAAGAGAAAGTTCTATGTAACCATGGAACTCTTGTTAGGTACACTGCATTATTCTACTCAATAGGCACAGCTCTGTAAAGAATTGGTGCTTGGTATGGAGAATCAGAGCAGGGTTGAACAGATACACTGACATGCTCATAATTTGAGGCCATCCCAATTTACAGATGGAACACAGCCCTCCTCTTCTCCATTAATGCCTACTTTTAGGCAGGTTAAACTTTCTTCAGGCACTTTCCAGTTGGCAGGTCATACCTTGGCTACTTAATCTCCTATGAGACATACACAGAAAGAAATTCTCAGCCATTTTCTGTTGATTTTTTTTTTTACCAGTTTCACACTAGTCTCATTCCAAAATACTAAGGGCACTTGACCTGGCAAAAGTGTTCAAAAAAATGCAAAATGGCACAGTTGGCTTAAACTTTGGCAAAATCATGACCTGGCCTCTCTCAGTCTCCCAGAATGCAACTGAGTAAACAAAATCATATTTGAGCAGTCACAAAAACTAAACTACAAAGCAGCATAGGATCAACAAAGCAGCAAGAGTGTAGTGTTCACATTTTTCAAACTATGAATGGAGTTCAGTCTACTGAGAGGATGTTTTTATTGTAGTAAAATACACATAAAAGATATCATTTTAACCATTTTTAAGCGTACAGATTCGTGGCATGTGTACATTCACATTGTGGTACAACTATCACCATCATCCCTCTCCAGAAATCTTTCCATCTTTCCAAAATCAAACTCTGTACTCAGTAAACAATAACACTCCTTTCTCACCCTCCCCCTGCCACTGGCAAATGCCCTTCTTTCTATCTCTATGAATTTGACTGTGTGAAGTACCTCACCTATGTGTAATCAGAAAGTATTTGCCTTTTTCTTCTTTTTTTTGGACTGGCTTATTTCACTTTGAATGAGGTCTTCAAGGTCCATCCATGTTGTAGTATGTGTCAGAATTTCTTTTTGAAACTGAATAACAGGCCCAGGGATTTAGCTTAATGGTTCTACCACCTGCCTCACAAGCACAAGGTACCAAGTTCGATCCCCAGTACCAAAAAAAGAAGAAAGAAGAAAGAAGAAAGAAGAAAGAAGAAGAAGAAGAAGAAGAAGAAGAAGAAGAAGAAGAAGAA